TACTACAATCAAAACAACTATATCATCAAATTTCACTCAAGTTTCGACTTTATTTTTTTTAGTGAGTTTTTATGATTATTCATTGCTATAGAAAAAAGAGCTCTTTTTCAAAATATAATTATAAATTTTCATAGAACTTAAAGTTCTCAAACTATTTTTCGTCTTTTTATTTTCTCTTTAATTTTTGTTTCACACACTATATAAACATAATAAAGACAAAAGTATGCAAGATGATAGAGAATTTCTAGCTCTATCAAAACAAACTACTACTAATCTTTGATAAAGAACTTCTTTCATAATGATGAATAATCTCAAAAATTAACTAGGAAAACGATGACAAATTGCCCTTTGTAGAGAATCTATCTATAATGAATGCTTTATTACAGCTAATTACAACCCAAATACACAGAACAATAGAAAAACTCATTCTTTTTTAGAATATATATATGTATAATATTCACAAAACTAACGTTAATACTTGATCAATCATATTTGAATATTGTCGTAAAACTTCATTTTCCATTGATAACTGTTTTACTGTGCGCATATTAGTAAGAACTTCCACAGCAAGCTAAAAAAGACAAAACATAGAGTAAATATTTAATAATCATTTCATCAAATAATGTATTATAACATAATCCTACTACACATTAAAAGATTATAAATAACAGGATATGATTTTACCGTGCTAGCTTGAGAGTAAATGAGATCCGATTGTGTTTTTAACCATGAACTCAACCGTATTTGAATAATATTCACGATCATCATGATAACGAAAGGAATAGCTATGATTATTGTTAATTGCCAGTTGTAATAAAGGCCAAGTAAGAAGCCAAAAGCACACATGGACAAAGCTTGACAAATAACACCTAATCTTGAACCAGCCATATCTTCAATAGCAGCTGCATTAGAAGAGAGTTGAGTACATATAGCACCAGAACTGTTTTCAGGTCGATCAAAATAAGCGACTTCTTGACGAAGAAAACATGCAAAAGCTTTTGAACGAATGCGACTAACTAATCTTGCTCCTGCTACTCCAAAAGTCACAAACTATAAACGAATATGAAAAAACTTATTGATATAGTTTAGAAATAATATAGTTACTTGAAAAAAATGAAGAACCATAAGAAGAGCTCCGGTAATAATAAATAAGCTACTTGTAATCAACACTCGACGACGTACATCATCGTATTTACAATCATTAAATTCCTAAATAAAAGTTAAATTCAGCAGAAAAAGACACATCTTTTATCTTTGCTTAGAATATTCATATGAATAAAATCACTTACATTAATTATTTTTGCGAATAGAATCGAGAACACTGGTCCACGTAATCCAGCAAGTAAGCATGCTAAACAGCCAGTCAAGATAAATACCCATTCAGGACTATTCATCTTCAAGAGTCTTAGAAAGACAGATTTTTTTCTTGTTGATATCAAAGCTCTCTAGAAATTTATACATTAATAATGATTTTTTAAACGTTATTAGATATCTATTTTTACCCGATTTGTATCAATTGCTTCGCTCTCACTTAATAAACGAACACGCTCCACTATTCCAAATAACAAAACGGAATCAAGTTTATAAAATTTAAGAATAATAACATACATATTTGTTCTTCATCTTCAGCTGTTGCTTTTGCCATATTCATTAAGCCATCTTGTGTACCAATCGTTTTTTCAGATTGTTGCATTTTGATCATTGTTTGATATTTACCTCCTTCTTTTGCCAATAATGTTTCATGTGTACCTTCTTCAATCACACTTCCTTTATCTAATACATAGATATAATCAGCATTTTGAATTGTAGTCAAACGATGAGCAATAACAATAGTTGTACGATCTATAGTATAATAATAATAATAATATAATCAGCAGTAATTAAGTAATTCTTACTTTTGCATGCCCGATCAAGTGCTTCTTGAACAATTTTTTCACTAACATTGTCAAGTGCACTTGTTGCTTCATCTAACAAAAGAATACTGGGTTGTTTGACAAGTGCACGAGCTAATGCAATACGTTGTTTTTCACCACCACTCAATTGTATACCACGTTCACCAACAAGTGTCTCATATTTCTGCAAGCAAAAATATTAATATATACATATAAATATTTAAAAACAAACATTTGGTAATTTCATAATGAATTTATGTGCATTGGCTTGTTCTGCTGCATGTTCAATCTCTGCACGTGTTGCATTCATTTTACCAAAACGAATATTTTCATAAATACTTATTCCAAATAAAATCTATTTCAACATATAAAAATTCGACAGAGGTTAAAAAAGAAAATAAAAGAAACCTACAGGTTCTTGACTAACAACTCCAATATTTTGACGAAATTGTTTGATTTTATAATTTGTAATTGATTGACCATCAATCATGATTCTGCCTGAAGAAGGTTCATAATAGCGAAGAAGAAGTGATACACATGTACTTTTTCCTATCACAATAAATTTCAATATTAAAATGATTATGTTTATTTTAGAAAAAAAAGATTTACCACAACCACTTGAACCTACAAGAGCAGTTGTTTGATTAGCACGAGCAATCAATTTAAGATTATTCAAAGCTGTTGCATTTTCTCTAGATGGATAACTAAAACTAACATTGTCAAATTCAATATCACCATTAATATTATAAATAGATCTTTCATCAGATATGTTCTCTTCCAATATTTCTCTTTCATTGATATTTTCATCATGTGCCTATATCATAAAAAATAAAATAGAGAATATAATTACCAAGGTTTAGTATCTAATATTCAATGTATTTTACCTCATCAATAAGTCGAAATACAGATACTGCTGCACCTTGAGCTTCCGAAATTGATTGAAAGAAAGGTCCAGTTGCATTAAGATAACTTAAAGCTTGTGCAAACATATTAACAACCTAAACAAAAGTTCGTTTTTCAGTTACTTTCTTATGCATATTGATGTTATAACTGACTTACAATAAGAATCTCACTAATAGTCAATGTATGATGAGTGTCATTAGACATAAGAATAGAACCAAAAGTAAAACCAATTGAATAAACTGCAAAGTTTATACAAAATAACCAACCAGTAAAAGCACCAAATGCAGCATCTTTGCGAACAGTATACCATTCATTTAATTTTAATTCTTTTTCATATCTAGATAAAGATAAATAATACAATAATCTATAATTCTTAATTTTTTTATTTTTTCTTTACTGCTTTTGTTGGTATTTACTTCCATTGAATGAAAGAACAGTTCTTAATGAACTAAATACTTCTTGAGCAATTTGTCCAGCTTTTGAATATGTACTTAATTGCGCTTGTGTTTCTTTAGTGATGACCTGTAATTATTGATAAAACTTTAGCAAATTAAATAATAATGTATACCTTTGCAAATATCAATGAACTACCAAGAATAATTGGAATCATACAAGACATAATTAAAGACAATTTCCAATTAAGAATAAAAGATATGATTATACTGAGAATCATGATTAAAATAATTGTATTTACTATTAAGAATTCAAAACCTATCCCATTTTTGATCTTTTCAATATTACTGTAAAGGAAATCGATTACAGATAATTGTTTGATATAAAGTTATTATATTGACTTACGCAAAAAGCTTCGTATTGTATTGAGTAGTTTGATTTGTATCCAAATATGTCATACTCTAAAAAATGAAAGAGAAGCAATCACTTATTTTATCTTAAATCATGATTTAACAAGTATATGAGTCAAGGGGGTAATAGCTGGCAACTAGCACTCAGCACCTGCTTAGCATCTTTTCGGCACCTCAGCACCTATTTAGGACCTGTTCAACACCTACTCAGCATCTGGTCAGCACCTCAGCCAAGGAAGTAAGAGCTGGCAACGAGCACCGACCGGGTGCTAAGGTGTTGCGCAGGTGCTGAAGTGCTGAAAAGGTGCGAAAGTGCTGAGTAGGTGCTAATATACTAAGTGCTGGGTGCCAGCTATTATATCACGGCTCAGCACCTCAGCACTTGCTCAACACCTCAGCACCTGTTCGGTGCTGGGTGCCAGTTCTTAGCCTCTTGATATAAGTCTATTAAAAATGATGAGTTCATCATTTTCTTTAAAGTTATTTTCTAATTATTTAGTTTAAACTATTTCTAAATTCTATCAATAATAAAATTCTCTGTTTCTTTTGTACTGTAAATTTACTTTGAACATGATCTTTGAGATTCGTTCGTATTATCATTCTTGTCTCTTATATATTTTCTATTGACTCTTTTTATAATTTAATTGATATATTAACGATGTTTTTAGAATTCTTAGTTTGTTGATTACAGAAATATTTAAAAAAAAGAAAATCAAAAATCGAGACCAAAATGATCTACTTAATATCATTTTATGTTCGACACGAGGCAAGAGAAATAAATCGAATAAACTGTATTTTAACTAGTCTAATCGTTTATAATCATTTATTTTAGTAACTCATCAACGAATAGCCATTTTTGACGAAATAAAAACATTTACAATGCAAATCTGCATTGAGTTTAAGTCATCTAGTAGAAATTTGATACTATTCACTTGTTGGCTTATGATCAAGAATTATAAAGTTTTTTTTGAGTATTAAAAAGTACTTTTACTTACACGTTGAATAAGTGATCGAAAGAGTAAAGCACTCATACGAGATGTCTGCCGTTTCGTAGCAACTGTCCAACAGATATATTTAAGGAAAACACTTAGAAACATAAAAATACTAGTACCTACATTGACACAGAGAAAAAACCATTCGTTTATTTTTTTTTTAATTTCAATCATCATATTCAATAGACTTACCGAAGAACAAATAAACTAGATGCATAACATTTTCATAAAATAAAGGCGTTAATGGAGCTAATGTGGATGAAATAGTTTTATTATCATAATGGCATAGTCTACAAATGAAAACATTTGAAAAGATTCAAAATAAGAATATTTTTCATTGAATTACTTATGTAATCGATCATAGTTTAATGGATTAAGATCAGTACCAAAAGGACATATAGTATTATTGATAATTGTAGATACTGAATTTTCATATTGGTTATGACAATCAACAGTAAATGACGTAGTGGCAAATAATCCCGTGATTCGACCAAAGAGAATTACATTTGCGAGAATACAAGCTGCATGCGCTAATAAGAAGCACAGAGCAGTAAGCATAAGAAGAATATCAATACGATCAGCAAATCGAAACTATCATTAAATGAAATGAATTAATTCATATATATATATATAAATATATTAAAAAGAAAAACAACATGCATTCAACTTAGTACTTTTATTACTTTCTTTTGATGATATTTTATGTTTGAATGTACTTACCAATTGTAAAACACCGATTGGAATATCTTTAGTAGTTTGGTTGATTTCATCGTTTAACTTTTTGTTCTTAGCATCAGTCTTTTGCTGATTGAGATATTGACGCCACTCAGAAAAACTATAAATAATAATGAGTTCTTATGTGTTTATCAATATTATATTTTTTTAAAAATGATACCTTTTGTTTTCATTGTCGCTATCATTGTCATCAAGTAATTTGTTATGTTTCTTTAATAGCGGCTCTTTATCGCTCATATTCTTCTTTTTTTTTCAAACAAAAATTAGTATGAAGGATGAAGCTTATTATGGGTCTATATGTATTAGTGTAAAGAGTGATTGAATTCTCTTTGCTTCACTGATTTCGCGTCCTGCATCTATTGTATCTGTTTTCTTTCATATTGTAAAAAAACCGTGGGCAACACTATGTAAAAGGCAATAATTTTAGATATTTTTTCATAGATGCAAATCTACTCAATATTGTCTTCTTAGCTGTCGCGTAGGAGTAATATGTTATCATTAAAGACTCAAGGACAGCAAATTCAATAATTGGGATAGACAAAAAAAAGAAAGAATAAATTGTCGATTGATTTTAATTTCTATACAACTACGAAGCTTTACGTTAGAGTTTTAGTAATGGTAAACAAACGTAAAATAAATTAAAGAGATATGAGAAGTCAAAATCATCAATCCAGTTCTACAATAAAATTTATATATATATATTTATAATAGATACAATTTTATTTTAAAATTATCATTCAATTTCAAATAGTTACATAATACTAATGATATTTTCTATAAGACTAGATATAATATTCATTAATAATATAATTTTTATTTTCCATACTCTTTCTTTATTTAATTGTCTAAAAACAACTTTAGCTTTGGAAATGCACTGCATTTCTTCATCAAATATTTTTCTACTATACCTAACATTCGACATATTTATATATACATATTATAAAGAGACATTGTCTTTATTTTTCGCTTGTTAAACATTAAATAATGATCGAGGAGACATGACGGTAAGAGTGGCTAAGTCGTGTTCGAAACCTTGCCTGTATTACTATGAAACGATTAACAAAGAAAAAAAACAAAGACAATATCTCTTTATAATATGTATATATAAATGTTATGTACAGTAAAAAAATGTCTGATGAAGAAATATAGTGCATTTCGAAAGCTAACTTGTTTCTAAATAAATAAATAAAGGAAGAGTATGGAAAATAAATGTCAATTAATCTTCCTCGACCGAAAAGAATAATAATATGATTTTTATTTACAAATCAATATTATACATAAATAATTGTTTTAACCTTCATTATAATATCGAGTTAGACTAAATATATTTATTCAACAAAAACTAAAATTTATACTATCATTCATGTTAAAGGAATGTAATTATAGATTGGTTATAATTCATGAATCTTTAAAATAACGAATTTCGTAAACATATTACATATTTTTAAATGAATGAATCAAATATTATTGCTTGGAAAGAATTAAAAAAGAATAATAGAAAAATAATGACTTCATATTTATCTGACACTTGATTTAATTCTGTTCGCTTGGTTTGTATCAAGAAACTTGTTGCATTTAGATAACAAAAATAAAGAGAATAATTTATTTCTTTTGATTTTCCTGGTTGAGTCGAATGGAAAAAAATCGAATAATACATATGATTTAATGGTACAAATGAAACGTTTTGATGGCTGTATCCTATTCTCCTATTAAAGAGCAATTGTGTGACCTGAAGCAGAAATGCGTCGATCACATTGCTTTCATTAAAGCACATCTCTACAACCTATACAAAGAAAATTTTGCGAAATAGTCGATTTATGTGTACTTCTTACTGTTAAAATTATTGATTAAAATCGTATGAAAATAACCGATTATTTCATGATTATTTTTCAAAATCTTCTTTACGTGGGAAAAACACACAAAACAAGAACACAGAGAATTTCTCAATCCATGTTTTCATTCATTCATAGAAGTTTAAAAGAACTCGAGAGAAATACCTATTCAAGTATATTTCTATATATAAATTATTTTTATTTTTTCTTTCCATTTCTCCTTGATATGTATGACTCAACGGTCAAGTAAAACAAATTTCCTTATTGGCTGTTTGAGTTATGAACGGCTCATTGATATAATCATATTTAGTGTTCTACAGTCGTATAAGAAATGTGATAGAGAATCTTTGATTTATTTTAAACGTGTTTGATGTATGAAAAATAATATTTGTTTTCTTTATTTGCTGATGAATGAATAATTATCTAATCTTGCATTTTATAAGAATATGTCAATTAACCCTTCGTGGATGTTCTCAGTTTTTAACTTCTTGGTTGTTTCAGGGTCCATCTGGACCCACTCATGAAAGTTCATCAAAAAACAACGTTTTAGCGTCACTAAAGCTTTTCATTTGTATATTATAAACATATAGATGCTTCAGTTTTATTACGATATGGACGCATTCTGTGATAAGCACTGTAAAAGGGCTCTGTAGTACAAATAAGAATTGAGTAGAATCTTTAGAAAATGATATTGCCATAAGCTGGAAATGACAGATTTCACGCTCTTTTTACTAAATGTGAGTCATTATTATAAGTAGCGAAGATAAAAACTAATCGAAACAAATCGTTAGGAAGGAAACATCGCTGCGAGAGAATAAATAGCAGCAATATCACCATATAAAATAAGATTATAGCACCATAGTTGTTATGGGGTCCACAAGGACCCGTAGCTGCATTTTTTCTTCGTTAGACCGACTCATGTTTTATCACATGGGTAGTGTATACCAACAAAAGACTAGAGATTAGATGTGAGAACCAATCGGAAACAGAAACTCTTAAGAGAGAATTCAGTAAAAAGCTGCGAAGTGGGTCCTCTTGGACCCCTCAACATCAACAGAGGGTTAATCGAACGTTTTCCTCGTTTAAAACCATTTTTAATAGCATTAAACAAATATGGTTCACATTTAAAAGATATTCTTAGTGGAGAAAAAATGGATTAGATATATTTGTTGGTGATGATGAAATTGAACAAACTTTTCAACAAGTTAAAACTCTTATAAGTGCAACTAAAACACAACACATTTTTCATACGATTTGTCAGCAGTTACAATTACAATATGAACAAAGTAAAGATAATTCATTTGAAAATTATCGATTACGTATATTTTGGTTAACTGATAGTCATTGTTCAGACGTTTTACCTATTCTTGATCTTTTTCTTAATTTATCACAACAAACAAGTTTATTAATTGATTTATATTATGGAGACTCTGATCCAATACAACTTGCAAATGCTCAACAAACATTTAATACACATCTAACTAATCAAACAAAAAATTTCTCTATTATTTATGATGAAACAATTGATTTATGTGATAGTAAAACACTTGAAAAAATACCAATAGAATCATTTGATATTATATTTTCTGCAAATCAATTTCAACGTAATCAAGATTTAACAAAAAAGAATTCTTTAATTACTCGAATTAGTTCATATTTCTCATTATTTTCATCTTATTTTTGATTTTATTGTTCAATGGTGTTCATCTCATAATGTTGATAATAATAATCATGCATTAAATAATATTCAACAATAGACAACATTATTAAAACAAATTTAAGGATTTAATTCTATTAAATCAATATAAATTTACATTAATTATTAGTCAAAAAACAATATCAAATGATATATTACAAAGACTTGATGAAAGAAAAAATCAATCATGGTTAATATTTACTAAAGATGATCAAAATAATAAAAAGATTTCATACTCAAAATTCGATATTAAATATTAGTTGTTCTGCAATATCAGTTTTATTAACTACTTAGAAACAAGTATCTATTATTTTTGCATGGCAACTTGATCAAATCTTACTTAATGAAAATAATGATGAGTTAGCATTTAAACAAAATGAAGAACTTCTACATGGAACATTATCATGAATTCTTCAAACAATTCAAAAATCATCACCATATTTTTAACCATTTGTATATGTTCTTACAGATCATGCTCAATTTAATGATGATTCTAATCTTAATATAATTGCATCATCATTTATTAGTCTTGCACGAAGTTTAATAACTGAATATGAACGACATCGATTGAAACTTATTGATCTTCAAACATCATTAAATAATAATAATAATCAATCAGCATTTATTCATACTTTAATAGAATATATGATTAATTCAAGATATTCAACTGATACTTGTCAAGTTGTTCTTCGTCTTAATAATACAAATCAAAATCAAGTTCAACATTTAACATGGCATTATGAAATGTTACAAAATAATAATGAACAAGAGAAATCTAAATTAGAACAAATTTTTGTTATTCCTAAACGAGATGCTGTTCAAAAACCATTTTGTATTTGTATATCACAATCTGGTTTTCTTTCTGAATTATCATGGATTGAAGAAGATAGAGAAAAAGAATTATTACCATCAGATATGGTAGTCTGATTTCGCTGGATTTGTTGATCATATATCATCTCTTATTCATATTATACCTGAAGAAGCATTTGATTTATTTGTTCAACGTAAGTTACATGCTGTTGAACCAACAGTTACTTATGAACCATCTCAAGTAATATAAGCATTATTAAGATGTAATAGTGGTCAAGTTATGGGTAAAACTGTTTTTCGTATGACTTCATCTGATCAACCATCAAATATCAAGAAAAACCAATCGAATAATTTATTAGAAGGTAATCATCTTTTATATTTTCTTTTCTTTTCGTTCTGTTTCGATCGCATCGAAATATTTATTCATACTCGAAAGAAAAGAAAAAAAAGACATTCGTTGATATTTTTCACCTTTTCTCATAGTTTTGCGGGTGGATGTGGATGTATGTCTCTTCTTCTTTTCTATTCACATCTACACCCACTATCGATCCTAATAACGCTGACCGATACTTCTTTGTTATATAGTTATATGTGATCAACTAGTGTAAGAAAGAGATAAAGTAAAAGAATAGAAATAAAATCACTTCGTTAGTCTTACTACTGGACCTAAACTTAAACTCAAACCTAAATTGTCAACCCGCTTGGATTTGAATTTGAGTTTGCTGCATATCTATCAAGAGCTACACCTTCATCTACCTTTTTATCTGAATTCACTGTGTAGTAATAAGGATATATTTATCATCTGTATGTGTTTGTTATTCTCTTCTTAATTTTTGCCTTGTCTTTTAATAATTTCGATAGGAATAAAAGAAATAAATTGAACAAATATTCGCTTAACTAAATGTTTGAAATAATGATCGTGGTTATTTAAACATAGAATAGTATTCGTTCACTTGATTTATCGAAATATTTTCTATATTTTTCTTGTGTTGTTTAAAGATTAAATGAAATTAAACATAAAGTTCATGTGATGATTGATTATATCAATAGAAATATTTGATCTATCATTATCATCATGAACTTTAATGTCACAAACTCGATAGGAAGATTTTTAGTGTTTGATTTATTCGATAAGAGATAATGAGCAATTGTTGATATAATATGGATAGTTAATCGCTTGAAGATGCGTATATATTGTTTTTATTGTCTATTTGACATTCATATTAAAAGAAAACTGTTATTTTCTAACGAGTTTTTCGATATTTCGATATAAAACTAAATAGAACGAGCATAAATTAATGATAAGAATGATCAATATATTTCACATAAGTTTGAAGAGTATTTTCAAATAGAAAAAAAGCATAATAAAAATATTAAAACATAGACGAAAAATTTTTTCGATTGTTCATCTTTGATATTTCCATTTAAACATAATTCCTCTTGATAACCATACTGAAAATATGAAAATATTTATTAGTTCTTTTTATATAGTTATTTCTGAATAGATTTATCAAGGATAAGAAAAATAATGACTAACATAGAACGTAAGAAAAAAATATTTCGTCACAAATATCGTTTTTTGGACGACGAAGAAATAAAGAATATGAAAATGAATACACATGTAGTAGACGTTGAATATTTCTCTATAAAAACATTTTATTATATAAATTCAGTATAATCGATTATTTTCAATGGAAAATTCTTTTTTCTATTGATTTTTAAAGATTACAATAGTTTCTAGATAAGATTTTCATTAAAAAGAATCAGTTTATATTCTTTTCTTTTGACATAAAATAATATTAGTAAGAAAGTTAAATGAATTAAATAATTATTTTACAATAAAAAAACATTTTTATGTAACAACTCCTAATTAAAAATCTCTACCTACATCTATATATGGATGAATTACAATATTCTTAAATTGTTTTATGAAAAATTTTTCATTTCATTGTTAATATCATTGTACAATAATATACTAAAGGAAAATATGTTTCATTTTTTCTAATTATTACTCTTGAATTATCTAACATATGAGATATTTTTTAAGAATCCAGTTTACAAATTTGAGACTAAACTATATTGATTAGTACGCAACTCATCTAATGCTGAATTTTTCACTTGATTTTTAATCTTGTTTGTGTAACAGGAAATTTCTTCGTTGATTACAATTGACATTAGTTATAAAAAAGTTATTTCATGTACTCAAAATCAGTGATTAATCTTCAATGATTTTTCTTCTGCGTTTTTAACGGTAAACTATGAGATTATTTACACGTGAACTTTTATGTTACTGTTAAATTCTGAAGGTCTTATTACTAATTTAATTAATTGATCAATGTTTTTATTATAAAATTGAATATTCATATTAATTTATACATAGAAATTATGTAATAAAATAGATAAATAATAACTCTATATGCAATTTGATATAGGGAGGGAAAAAATTCTTTAAAAACGATGAATTGTTTTTGTTTATTTCTGGAAGACTTCTATGGTTATTTATTATCGCTCATTAATTAAAAATCTTGAAAAAAGAATGAAAAAAACATAAGTGAGAAGTAGAGTTATAGATTAATATAGAATCATCTAAAATAAACTACACCTTATCGTAAAGAAACGTTTTGAAACGAATGATTGTGATGACGAGGCTTATGGTACGATCAATTTTTTTTAAATTATTCGATGTCATTTATGTCATAGTAGTCACATTCATAACAAAACTAATCTTTTTTTTGCTTCAAATGTCTGTGATTCTATTTCACTTTTCAATTTATAAATTCTTAAATAATAAATTTGTAGTTTATAACTGATTACTGAAATCGATGATTAAATATGATTTTCATGGCATAGGATGTAACTATGAAACTCGTCGAAGAATTTTATAGGATTTATTTTCTAATGGTGATAATATGAGCAATAGTTGAATAGAATGAATAATATTTCAAGTCAATCTGTAATATTTTAAGAGAATAATAAATTTAAAAAAGTCTTGTGTAATATTTCGTGTAACATTAATAGTTTTTTAATTTATTTTATTTAAGTGAAAACTTGAATAACTTTTTTATTGTCTTTTATGACTTGTATGATTATATGTCGAGGTTATTTTTCATATAACAGAATAGAAATTGAAGGATTGACGATAGATATAATCTATGAACAAATAATTAATTCGAATTATTTTCTTAAAGTATATATTAAAAATAAATAATCATTTTTTATCTTTGATTTCTATACAATATAAGAAGAGCGACACATGTGCGAGATAAAATCAATTTTGATTTCATTTCGAAAGAAAAAAAGAGATTGTACAAATGATCGATTTGATAGTAAAACAGATTCTTTTAAGTATATCATATTTACATTTATCTTTACTCACACGTGTTCTTTATTGTAAAACTTAGATAAACAAGCGTTTAGAATAAAAATATGAAATAAATAATCATGATAATCTCTTTTTATTTTGATGAACATTTAACAATCATTAAAATATAAGGCTATAAGATTTCTTTGCTGTATCATTTATTAAATTAGTTTCATGTCAAAAAAATAACTCACACTTATTATTTCATCTTTTTCAAAATTAAAAAATCTTTAACTATGTTATAGAATTGTCGATCATTTGTAATAGATCGCTGAATTGCAGATGATTTTGATCATAAAGAAGAGTGATGTTACTGGACAAGTCATTAGAAATCCAAATAGTTAAAAAATCTAAGAGAATTAATTCTATATTGAAAAATAAATAAAAAAAAGATTTTGATTGCATTTAAAAATTGATTTAATTTTTCTTCCATGAATAAAATCGATAAAAAAAGAATTATTTTTCTCTTTTCTTTTCATGACTTATCTATCCGTCTTGACTCATTGGTTTTCTTAACCACATGTGATTTTTAGTACGAGCAATCAACGACGATATTAAAGAGTAAATGTATAGAAGAATATATTAATCGATTATTGTTTGATAGAACGAAAGAAAAGCTTACTTATATGTTTTAGAAATATTCTTTATCTTCACAAAAATAGTACAAAAGGCAATTAAGCACAGACAAAAAGAAAAAAAAACGCGTTTTATAAAATATTTTCAAATATCGAAATAAAATGACTTTTATGTATCGAATCGTGTTCTAATATTATCTTAAGATTTCGATTGACAAATGTGGAAAATGAAATCTTTCTATTCTGATATTCGAACAGCTAAAGGGGAAAATTAACTTGATTCTTATAAAAAAAAAATGTTTCATTTCAAATTGATACTAATATAAAATAAGGTAAAGAAGAATTTGATTATTTTAATTTTATCTTATTTCCTAAATAATTATTTTAGTATTTCAAAAGAAAACAATTCTTTTTATTTAACATTTTACTTTATATTTGGATATTTTTCATAGAAAATATTTGTTTAACTATTCTCATTTAAAAAATCTGGATATTCAATTTAAGATGATCGAATTGGAAAATATTTTCTATATAATATTGAACTATTAGTGGAAATGAATTCAAATTCGATTTCCTAATCACTTATTTTATTAAAAATTTCTGTAATTAAAACAAAATTTTGAATTTTATTCACATTTCCATATCAGCCTCCAGTCAATATTTATTTGAAGGAACTTTCTTGGATGAAATCTTTTTATATTCATTGAGTATTTTTTTTAAATAAATCTGTACTAATTTATTGTCAAATCATTATTTGAATTATTTTATGAATTTCATATTAAATTATAAAAAATATTCGAAATACTTAAAGGTATCCAGACACTAGGACTAGATCAATGCAAACTTCAATTCAACTTAATAAAATCGAACAGATCAGGCAACTTTGTCTTTCATCAGCTGAATTTGATAAATAGTACAGTTCCTGTCATATGAAAGAACACTCTTCAAAATCTTCTTTCATATGGTCAAAATAATATTTTGTTTTTTTTAAATATAACGCCAAAAAAGAACGTTTAATCAAAATTAATCATATTTCAATCCAAATTTAGTATACTTCCGTAGGGACGAAAGGTGGTGTAACAAAGCGTATCATTAACAAAAGAAATACATTTCTATCCTTTCATATTCACATGTACATTCTACAATATAAAAGAAGAACATGTAATTACATTGAAAGAATAAATACAGTGAACCTTTGTCATATTTGAGCTCAATATAATCACATTCAAAGAATAAAGAGAACGAACAAATGTTTAAGGACAATCGAGCATACGACAAGTATGTCCTTTATTTATTTCTAAGTGATGGATAAGAATAAAACATTAATACATCACTTATAAGTGATAAATGGATTGTGTAAAACTTTCTTCATATTTATCAGCACAGAAACGTCCTAGGATGTTTACAATTCCTTTCATTGTTGATGCGATATATAAATCTTCCATTAACCGTATTTCATCAACGCAATCACTATTTTTTTTTCTTGTTTTGAATTTTATCGATGAGACAAATCCAGAATTATGATATTTCGTCATCAATAGTAGATAATTATACTATGAGGACAAATATATATGCACTCTATTCTATAGAATAGATAAAACGGCAATTACAATTATTTCGCCAACGCACTCGTTTTTTGTTGTTGTTTTGAGTTTCGTTAATGTAATGAATGCCGAATTATAATAACTCGTCAACAATAATAGGTAATTATACTGTGAAGGCAAATATATCCATTCTTTTGTATAGAATAGATAAAACGTCGATTACGTTTATTTCGCACAACGCACTCATTTTTTTTTCTTGTTCTTCTGAGTTTCGTTAATCAAACCAATACTGGATTATAACACCGCCTCATCAGTAATAGGTAATTATAATGTAAATGCACACATATATGCACTCTATTGTATAGAACACGTAAAACTTCTATTAAAATTATTTCACAAACCGACTCGTTTCTTTTAATTTTGTAGTGAAAATTATTGTAATTGATGCAAATAACTACGATCTAGATGTTTCGCCTAATTTCAACAGTCATTAACTGGAGTAAGTTCACCGTCTACTGCTGAAAATTAAAGGATTATGTGTGTTGTTCAATAATAATAATAATAGAATAATTGGTTTCATACGACAAAAATACGAATAAAACGAAGTTCGAATTTTACAGTGATAGTCATACATTTATTTATTTTTTGTAATAAGTGAATTCGTTGATTTTTATTATAGAAACTTCATCAATTACAAGCTGAATTACGTGAACATGGTCCATATTTTGAAGCAACTTTTCCACTTTCAAATAATCCAAAGGATTTCGATACATATTTATCGATGAATATTATACGTCCTGTTGTTCGTACTAATCTTTCATTCACTCAATTTATGCAAGCTGATAGAATTGATGTAAGAAAATTATATTTAATTTATTTTGAAAAAAAGACGTTGAAGTTTAAAAGAAAGTTGTTAAGGTTTCTAGTTTAGTTTAGAATATTTTGATATATTCGTACATTCATAATTTATAATAAGTAGATGTAATAGCGATCAATATAATGCAAAAATTATCGAGCATTAATAATCACTTCTTCTCCTATTGAAAAATAATCATAATATATTTGAATTTTGCGAAATAAAATCGTTTGAAACGTTTCTGTTATAGTTAATTTTCAAGTTAGAAATGAAAAATAAATAAAATACAATATTATTTAATTTGATCAAGATTTGTAGAATTTTATGAATTATTTTGAAAAAAAATCAAAATAAATATTTTACTTTTATTAAGACTAAAATAATTTTAGTTCTAATAGCAACAAAAATATAATAATCTTATTGAAATTATTGACAATGAAAATAATGAAGATTTGATTAAAGTTGAATAGTATATCTATAATTAATGTAATAGGATTTTATTTTTAAATAATATATAATTTTGGAATTAAGCTACTTCAAGAATATTATAGAGCTTTTGTTGTAAAGAAAAATATCAGATAAGCATTATGAATCAATATGATCATTGTAATCATGGTCCTTTTCTCATATAATAAGTCGAGTATAAGTAGCCATGACCGCGATTTAAAACGTACGTTTAAAAAAATCGTACTTATGAAGGCGCTCATATACATACATGTATATAGACAAGAGGTATTACATAATAAATAACCTACTGCCCTATCTTATTTTTCTACCAACTAATATCTTGTATGACAAAATGAAAAACTACAATTTATAAAGTAAAATTTCTTTTTATTATTTACCTTTTGTTTTGAGAAAAAAAGAAAAATTCTGTAACGAAAAGTGATGGTACATAATGTTTTTATTTTTGAAAACAAAAGTTATAAAATTAAAATAAATTCTTCACATTGTATCTTGTACTATATTTTGTTTTATTTATACAATAGACAATCGTTCTATTCAAATTGAATATAAAATAGATTATTTCAATAACTAGTTAACTTAGTTCATAAGTTCTTGTTGTTTAATTATAGTCCAGTTTATATATATATTTATTACCAACACATAAGTGAATACCTTTCAACTTTAGAGAAAAAATATATCAATAGGCATCTATTTAACATGCATGTTTAAGAATTATTCTATACAAATCAGATATGTACTAACTCTGTTCTTTTAGCTTTTCTTATACTTCGAACAAATTATATGCAACTTAGAAAAACAAATGATAACACTTAAGAGACGTTCCACGAGAAAACCAAACATTTTTGATATATGACAAAACACGTAGGTCAACGGATTCCGGATCTGACCTGATATAAACTTA